ACTTTTCATTGATATTGACATTTACCACATCACTGATAGCAATAACTAACTGTTAATTTAAGAAACTAGCAACTATAAGGTGTCGTTTGGTTCGCATGTTGGAATCGGATTCGGATTCGAAGTCATTCTTCTTGAATTTGGAATGGAATCAATCATTACAATACATTTGTTTGGTTCAGTGCCAGAAATGTGTATCATTACTATAGTTGATGTTTGGTTCGTTGGCTCTTTGTAAATGGGATATAAGAAATTTTCACTAATTAAATATATTAGTATAAATGTATTAATAAATTTAGTATAACTAATTAATAATTTCTATTAGTAAACATGTTTAATTATTAGTATAATTGATAATATCAATTATATTACGTAGATTAATATACATTATATAATATATATAACTAATAATATCATTATTATAAGTTTGTAACTAATTAAATTAAATATTATATATAATTAAATATAATTATACCAATGTTATAATATAAATATAAATATATAATTATATAATATATATAAATATTAATTAGACTAGTATTTTATATAAATATAATGTATATTACATATTAAATATAGTTATTATTATATATTATTATATTTAAAATAATAATAATAATAATAATTATAAAACTTATTAATATTATATACATATATATATTATAATTATATGCACATATAATATACATTTATAAATATACGTATATATTATAAACATATTATTATATAATATTAATAAATTTATAATATATAATATATAAATATAATTATATTTAACTAAATAATTATAATATATATTTATATAATATAACAATATCATTATTATTTGTAACTAATTAAATTAAATACTACATATATAATTAATTATAATTATACAAATTTTATAATATAAATATAAATATATAATTATAATTATATAATATATATTAGTTATATTAATATTTTATATAAATATAATGTATATTACATATTAAATATAGTTATTATTACATATTATTATATTTAAAATAATAAATATAAATATAAATATAATTTATTAATATTATATACATGTATATATTATAATTATATGCACATATAATATATATTTATAAATATATATATTATAAATATATTATTATATAATATTAATAAGTTTATAATATATATTATATAAATGTAATTATATTTAACTAAATAATTATAATATATATTTATATAATATACTAATATTATACTAAAATATATAATTATAATAAAATATTATAACTATAAAATATTATATATATGTATATATTATAATATAAATATAAATATAAATATATATAAATTTTTATTATACCAATATTATATAATTATAAGATTTGGGAATTGGACTTGGGTTTTGGACAAAACCCACCAACTTACTAAGGAATAGAGGAATGCTAAATTTTTAGATATCATTCCAAAATTTCAATTCCAATAGTAGTGAACCAAACATGAATCATGGGATTTATTCCATAACGTCATTCCGAAACCCTTTTATCAAACGCCCCCTAAAATTTACATATCCAAAATTTAGTAGTTTGTTTGAATTACAGTTTTCACAATTCTATGTATCTTATTGTTATAATGTATTTTAGTCTTATAATTATTCACAAAACTGATGATCACTAACCTATTTTACCCATTTTTATTTGTCATCACACAAATTAAATACAGTGAAAAAAGATTATGTATTTATACTCTCGCCATGGATAAATCCCACTTACAAGAATTTCAATCAGTGACAAAGCCAAGATTTTTTTCTAGAGGGGCTAAAATTTTTCTTAACATAATTATTTTTATGTGCTATGTTCAAAATAATTTTCATCTATTTAACTATATGAAATCTAAAAATATCAAATATTAATTTTAATTATAAAGGAATGTAAAAAAATAAATAACTTTTTAAAGAAAAAATTAATTCAAATATAGTTAATTCACACACACACATACACATACATATATATATATATTCTCATAATATAAACTAAACTGCAAAAAATTAGGAGGGTCAACTTTATTTTACACAAATATTTACATAATAGGAATTAAAATTTTTAAAACTTGAGGTGGGGGCCTATGCCCCCATTAGTCCCCTATTGGTTTCATCATTGATTTCAATGACATTTTAATTCCAAACTTGCAAGATTATAAAGAAAAAATAACTGATCGCAAAACAAATCTTACACTATAGTAATCCCACCGAAATATTTGAAAAAGATTAAGCAAGTTCAATTCTAAGAAATACAAGTCTCACTGAATATTTTTTTTGTAGCATGAACTCCACAAAATTCAACAGAATTAATTAAACTACCAATATTGATTTTCATATTAAAAGTTGATTGATCCAAAAAAATGTTCGCATCTTTATACAAAATTATCAAACCGAATGCATAATGTTTGTAAATATTTCATTTTGAAATAAATTTAATATATTTAAATGTATGACATCTAAAAATATCAAATATTAACTTTAATTATAAAGGGATTAAAAAATAAATAAACCTTTTTAAGAAAAAAATTAATTCAAATGGAGTTAATTCATGCACACACACACATATATATTGTCATAATATAAACTAAAATTGTAAAAAATTAGAATGTCTAGCTTTGTTTTATATGAATATTTACACAATATGAATTAAAATTTTTATAACTTGAGGGGGAGGGCTATGGCCCCCATTAGCCCTCATTGGTTCCATCATTGATTTCAATGGCATCTTAATTTCAAACCTACAAGATTACAAAGAAAAAAATATTAATCACAAAACAAATCTTACACCACAGTCTTCTCATTGAAATATTTTAAAAAGGTTCAACAAATTCATTTCTAAGAAATACAAGTCTCGCTGAATAGTTCTTTGTAGTACGAACTCCACAAAATTCAATAGAATTAATTAAACCACCAATATTAATTTCATACTAAAAGTTGATTTGTGTAAAAAATGTTTGCATCTTTGTACAAGATTATCAAATCGAATACATAATATTTGTAAGTATTCTATTTAAATATATGACATTTAAAAATATCAAATATTTACTTTAATTATAAAGGGATGTAAAAAAATAAATAACTTTTTTAAGAACAAAATTTAATTCAAATGTAGTTAATTCACACATATACACGCACACATATATACATATATATTCTCATAATATAAACTAAAATTGTAAAAAATTAGGAAGGCCAACTTTGTTTTACACAAATATTTATAGAATATAAACTAAAATTTTTAAAACTAGGGGACAGGGAGGCTATGGCCCCTATTAGCCCCATTGATTTCATCATTAATTTCAATGGCATCTTAATTCCAAACCTGCAAGATTATAAAAAAGAAAATAACTAATCATAAAATAAATCTTATACCATAGTGATCCTACTGAAATATTTTTAAAAAGTTCAACAAGTTCACTTCTAAGAAATACAAGTCTCGTTGAACTTTTTTTGTAGTACAAACTCCACAAAATCCAATAGAATTAATTAAACCACCAATATTATTTTTCATACTAAAAGTTGATTGGTGTAAAAGATTATCAAATCGAATGCATAATGTTTGTAAGTATTTTATTTTGAAATCAAATAAAACATGCAATTACATTTATTTTTATCCATATATCATTCATTTTCTAATATAAATTTCTATTATTATTTCAAGATCCATCTTCCGCAAAACTGCAATTCTTGAATGGTCTACACATTTTATCATATTTTGAACTATTGTTAGACAAATAGTAAATATTAATTATGTTGATAAAATTTTTTTAACTTTTTCAAATTTACCCTATCTTTTAATTTCTTTGAATAACATAAGCTCCGTAAGTAGCACAGGTATTGACACTAGTGTATTATGTATCTAACTGTAATGGTGTATATATTGCCAATATATATAAGATTAACTGTTCTTTTAATACTATGACATTATTTATAATTAATCTTATTATATTGTTCACTTACAACTATTCATGAATGCACTTAATCTACTTATAAATTATAAGCGACCGGATGAAGGCTTAACAATCAGGGTCCATAAAAGCACACAAAAAGGGAAATTACACCTACTATTAAATCTTGACAATTACTACTCACTTCCAGAATAGTAACTCTTTCATAAAAAAGAAAGAAAAACTTTTACAGTGCATCTAGATTTAATGCTAAGCCTAGTTTGGGAGAGGATTTGATTGGATGCAAGATCAGAGGGATTGTTAATAAGAGATTCTGTTTGAAAATTCCCATTATTTTTTTAAAAAAAAGCCCAATTCTTATCTAGTAGGAATCAAAAACTTGCACCAAGGAGTTGAATGAGTAAAAAGGGGAAATCAAACCAAACAGGATTATTGTAGGCTAGCACAAAATTGACATTAAACTCATCACATGATTTTGATCGGCAAAATGGTCAAATTATTCCCAGTCCATTGATAACTTTGCCATTATAGAGGTAAAAATGCACAAGTGAAAAAGAACTTTACTTTTCATTGTTGCACTCCCATATTATTTTGGTTTAAATATGAGAGTGCCCATGGATTTTATAGACACTTCATTTTCATTTGAATTGCTATTTTTTGAAATTTTGTAGAAAAGTGTATCGCAACGACTTGATACATGTAAGATAAAAAAGTGATTGAAATATACTCATACAAAACATAAAAATTTTTACATGAAAAATCACAATCCAACAAAGGTCTATGCTTTCTTGTACCTCGCAATTGGTGCAATTGGAACTTAGATGCAACTTGTTTTGAAATCATTCATAGAATTGTTTTTTTTATTGTATTTAATTTGAGCTGAAAAAGGTAATTTTATTTCATCCAAAGAGTTGCGTTCGTAATAAAGCACTAGCCATTTGGTCACATCTGGCTTCTTGCCTTTTTTTTTTTTTTTTTTTTTTTTTAATTTAGCTATGAATCAGAGGACGAATTTGTCATTCCACAACCTTCCGACACCCTCTAGGAAACTGATCCTAAACCAGACTGGATAATCTTTCTTAAACTTTATATATCCTCGTACTCCGTAAACAACTTCTTCGACTTTTTCTCCGACGTTTTCGCAAACAACTCCTCATTCAATACCACTTCTCCCACTTTTTCTCATTTTCGCATTATTTACAGATGTTCGCCCTGGCTTCTTGCCCTTTTTTTTGTTATTTAGCTATGAATCAAAGGACGAATTTGTCATTCCACAACCTTCCGACGCGCTCTAGGAAACTGATCCTAAGCCGGACTCCTTGAACTTATATATCCTTGTACTTCGTAAAATCTGATACCTTTCCATAGTTACGTCCAAACTACTGATAATGGCGGAGGAGCCAAGCCTTCCATGTCATCCCCATCTTCTTCCAAATCCATATTCAAATTCAACTCCATACCCAAATCCAGATCAAGTGTTTCCTGATGAAATGATGAGAGAGATCTTGTTATGGCTTCCGGTCAAGTCCCTGATGCGATTCAAGTGCGTCTCAAAGCTCTGGCTGTCCATCATCCTAGATCCTTCCTTCGCAAGGGCGTACCGTCGTGGTTTCCGAGGTCTCATCCTATCTGATCCCTACTTCGAAAGATTGGCACCCACCAAGGATTTCTTCTATGTGAGCCTCGATGGTGGTCAAATTTCCCACCACCTCGCCGTCGAGCACGACGGTGGGAGGAGTTTGGGCTACACCGAAATCGTCAACGGTTTGGTGTGCTTCTACTACGGCAATTATTCTTGCTTGTACAACGTTGCAACCCGGGAGTCGATGGAGCTTCCTCGGTCGGAATATGGGCATAGCTCTGCTACCTATCACCTGGGTTTTGATCCGGTAGATAAGTTATACAAGCTGCTGAAAATATGCCCGGTCTATAGTGATGATGATTACGATGGTGAGGATTTACGCGAGGCGACTTGGCTTTGTAACTTGGATTACTCGGAGATTCTCACCATAGGTACGGATGCTTCGTGGAGACGTATCGCTCCGGCACCTCGGGAGATAGTGGAACGAGCCGTCTGCCTTGATGGAGCCTTATATTGGTTGGAAAATCGGATAAAAAACGTTGGTGGATTCGATGGCTTTCTTATTGCTTTTCATCTTGCTCAGGAGAAGTTTGAATTTGTTCCCACACCGGGAAGACGACTCCCCTACCGTCTACCATATTTTGGAACTCGTCTGTCTGCAATAACTTCGTACCCGCAGGATGGGGTAATTTATAGTCATGGTGATGGTGGGTGGCGGGTTGAGCACCGATTTGATATGCCGCAGGAGCCCGACCACGAGTTTTGTGCTGTAGGTATACTGCCTGATGGCAAGGTTGTAATATATGAGAGCACTGGTCTTCTCTACTTCCCGGCTCCATTTTATTTATATGACCAAGTGGAGAAGAAGTTGACGAGGATTGTGATTTGCAGATCCCCTTCCTCCTCATCACTTGAACAACGATCCAAACTATTGTTTCGGGATGATATTTGTGGGTACTTGTCCTATTATGAGGAGAATATCATCCCACTGAGTTATTTCGCAACTCCCTACCCTTAAACAGACAGCAGTACTGCACTTGTTTTTGATTTTAGAGTTGTTTAATGAACTAATTACTGAGAACGGACTTTATAATCAATAATTTATGTTATTTTTCTTTCCTTTTTTTGGTTGACGTAATCACAGAGGCAGTTTTTACTTAGTAGAGCTTATTTTGTAACCAATAAATTATCTTTGTTTATATTAATTTCTTGAAAATATGATAATACTGCAGCTGGTAAGGGTTCGTTCAGAGTTCTGTTCTTTGTTTGCTAATTCTGTTTAGACTTCCTATAGTTCACGTCTACCATCTCAATTTTCTAGCAGTCCGCTATCTAGCTAATCTACCCAGATAACATATAGAAATGCATTATGGTGCCTTCGATAAAGTATAAGACAATGTGGAGATGATGCGTATCAAATTTAGGTTGGGTTTTGACTGTACCGCTTTGCTGGTATGGTGCATCAAAATTGGATACTGCCCTACAAGCTAGCTTTGTCTCTGCTGCCTACTTTTATCTTCTTTTTAAATCTCTCAATTAGATAATTCTCAGAGTTAATCATTGACTTATAATTTACCAATACTGGGAATGGACCTAATTAAGCATGCTTCTTGAATGTTGTCCTTAATTTATTTTTTCTTTAGTTCTTTGCTGGACTGGGATGTTAATGGATTCTCTTTTCATTAGTCATTGTTACTTTGCCCACAGAACTCAATGTTTCTGCTTGGTTTTCTATATTGTGTTCTGCAGAAAAGTGATAATACAATGATTTGCATGTGGTGGATGGTGTAATGATTTTTATTTTGTATTTGGATTCTGTTAAAACTTTGCTGGCATTTATTCTAATTTTGTGATTTGGAAATGTTCCCTACTTGTGTACTCGTAGCTTATCTGATTAAGTCAGCTTTATCCCTGTTAAAGGTTTATGTTCAATATTAGCAATCAATCTCTGTGTTCCTAGGAACGTGAAAGGGACTGCTTCTTGCAGTTCATAACCGACAGTTTTTGCTATTGCCAGAGGAAAATAAGAGACAAGGTATGCCATCAGGTCAGTTTTTGCTTTATTTGGAGCTTTTATTTTTTGTTGTTTTGGGGTGGGGGGTGAGGGAGGGGAGATTTCTATCTGTCTGAGATCCCACTGCTTTCCCTGTGCCACTTCTTGTTCTTCTGGTGTAAGAGAGGTGATAAAAAATGTAAGCAAGTCTAGTGAAAGAACCTGGTTATAGGTGATTGACTGAGGATATATCCTTGTTGACCATATGTAAGCTATTGTTGACTGTATTAGCAACCGTTTTCTCCTCCTAGGTCTGAGATTCCTATGATTGATGACAACATATGTCAGCGCAACGGACTTTATTCAGTTCTTGCCAGTGTTACAAAATCACTTCGTTTTGTTGGTTGGATCAGTACAGTATCCATATGCTGTGGCTTTATAACTTGTTTTCTAGTCTTAGCAAACCTACTCTGGCATATCAGGATTATTGATTACCTTAGCTATGTGTTTCACCTTGAATGTCTATTGCAGCGGAGTTAATCCACAAGAAAGCCAGGCACATAATCTGTTGCTTTCTTCAACTATGCTTAAACTTTTGATAAATGCAAATTCTTGGTCTCTGTCTCTTATAGTTTTTCAAATTCACTCCCAAACTATGTTGGCTTTTCTTGACCAGTCTTCAGTTGGCTATTCCATTCGAACTTCCTAGAGTTCATCAGTCGATCATGTCAGTGGTCTTAGTGGTTTGCTGACTAACTGATCTACAGAAATAACAGGGATTACAATTTTACTGGTACGGTACATCAAAGCTTATCTTTGTCGCAGTCTTTTGCTTTGTCTTGACATTATTTGCTTTCTGCATTTTAAATTTGTTTTCTTTTTACAAGCTCTTGTTCAAATAATCCTTAATCTTCAATCATTAAAGTTGAATTTTTTATTGTGACTTTTCTGGTATGGTGCATCAAGAGTGTATCTTTGCTCAGCGCCTTGCTTTGGTTTGATTACAATTTGCTGCATTTTACTTTTATTTTCTTTTAACAATCTCCTTTGCAGACAATATTCAGTTAATCTTTTTTGACTTATTCTTCAATTGTAGAGGGCTTTTATATTAATTTACCAAATATTCAGTAATTTACTGTTTACCTAATTAAGGATGCGTCTTGAAAGCTGTCCTCTGCATTTAGTTTTTGTTTCTGTGCGATTTGGATGTTGATGCAAACTCTCATTTCACTTGATGTATGCCTACAGAACTTAAACAATAGCAGAATAGCTTTTCAATTGATTTGTCTGTCAAGACATGCCTTGAACCTACAATAACCATCATTTTAGTAGAGCAATAATTGACCAAAGGACAATAAGGGGCATGCTATTTTGTCAAAGAGTTAACATCTTTAATTGATGAAATGAAAGTTGACAACAGAATCTACTGTTGAAATAACATTTCCACCCACACGCTGTTATGCAGGTGTAGCGCAACCAAAATGGAGATCCCAGGTGTGTCTGAGAAGTACAAGTGGCCTTATTTACATATCCTCTTATCCTACGGGTACGTTTATGGTAGGATGGGGGGTACATGGATGGGATTGCTGTTTTAGTAGTTAACCATTTTATTCACAGTATCTGTTGTTGTAGAGCCTAGCAGTATCTTCCTTTGAAACTACAATATGGACATGCCTCTGATTCGACTAAGTTGCCATCATGAGAATCATTACAATTGTTGATCCCGGTAAATTAACAGTGGTTGATGGAGTGGGTTTTGCAGTAGGCTTAGCAAGGGTAGGTTTGAATATGATAACATGAGCCTGAAATATATAGACGTTTAAAAGTTTCATAGACTGGATGCTGTTGAGGAAGTGTAGAGAAGAATGAGTTGTGTTCTGGATGTTTAGCACTTTTATGAATTTCTTTCAATCTATGGGTGTCATTCTGCAGTACTGTGGTGGTGGTTAACTCTCGCCATCTGACATTGCTTTCTGTTGGCTTCGATTTACAGACTCGTTGAAAATTATCAAGTTAATTCTCACCATTCTGTACTGTGCCTCATGCCAGTTTTGTAACTTGCCCATTGCAGGCCGTATGTTTTTGGAGAAAATTCTAAAATTATTATTAGAAAAAAAGTAAGTCTGTAAAAGGGGTCTTTTGAGTTGGTTATTCTTTAGCAGAATGGTCTTCGCATTTAGGAAATGTGAAGTCTGTTATCCTTTTGTTTTTATTTTTTTGGTTCCGCTGGATTTAAAAAAAAAAGAAAAGAAAAATTGACCTTGCATTCTTACAATGCGAGCTTCATTACAGAAGATCACATCGGACAAAGTTTTGTCCACAATTGAAACCCAAAATTTTCCCTCTTCTCCAAATCCCACTGATGAAGCAGAAGCAGTGGTTTCGGGCCCACAGCAAAACTCAAGAAACCCTCCTCGAAGTCAAAAGACCAAAATGGAGGAGAAAGAAAAGAGAACTTGTTCAGCCCCAGGTTCAGATCAGCGGCAACAATGGCTGGCTGGGACTAGGAGGCTCTTATGGTGGTTGCTTCTTAAGAGTTGTTGCTATTGATCTTGAGGAAGATGAGCCAACAACAGAATCAGCTATACTCAGATCAGGGGGATTCTTTCTTTTTCTTTGATTATCTTAAATCTTTCTTTTAGATCTTTCTGATTTCTCGGGTGCGTTGACTTTTAATTTTTTTGAATTATTATTGTGATTAGAGACCAAGAAAGATATGACAGAATGGACAACTATTGGAGATGAAGAGAAGAAAAGAAGCGGAAATGAATTTGATGCACAAGGTTCGATTGTTTCCCCTTCTAGTTCAGCTATTCTATGCATCGATCGACTTCGTGGGGAGCTTTCTTGCACTGTAAGAGCCACAAAACTGCTGTCATTTGATAATACCCCTGTCTGAAGTTTCTTAAGTAAGGTTCTCTGGTTAAGAGTATTTCCTATTGTATTGTGGTACAATTGAAAAATGAAAGGTTTCATTTCGATTTGGCAGATTTGTTTGGAGATTTGTTTTGAGCCCAGTAATTGGATGATGGTTTTAACAAAATAGCTAACTCAAAGGCTTTTGAAACTATGACTGAAGCTTTAGTTTCAGCCAACAATTGGATAATCCTTGGCTGTAATTACTCTCTGGAATCTTGAATAGTTTAGCGTAGTGATTAGTTTCTTTAATTCATATGCAATTATTCTCTCTTTATTATTGCAATGGTTAGCTTTTTATTTTTTCCAGATTCAGAAGATATGGGCAAAAAGATTTAAGTTGGTGTCGAAGCCAAGTATTGATTGTATTTTTATGTTGAGGAGTTGCCTGAATATGTATTTAAATTTGTAGTTTTTTTGATAATACAGATTCTCATAAGATATGTTCATAGGATACACCTGCTGAACCTTGCAAATTGATTCATATAACAGATAGTTTGGATGCTTTGTCCCTTCGATGATTTTTCCCATTTAAACCAACCTATCTGGGGTTGTGAGTAAAGTTCTGAGTTTATATGTCTACTGTCTTGCGTGTTTAATATCTCTCTACTTTCTTTCAATTGTGTGAATTTAGATTTATATCTAGAGACACCATGAAGACAGTTTTTATCACTGTATCACATTAATTCAGCACTCTTTGGATATTGGCACAGAGAATTTTGTTCCTTTTGCTGTTTAGATTGTTGAATTTCAATTATTTTGGTGATGGTATTGTGGTAAAACTGTAAGAATTAATCTCGTTTTTCTGGTTACCTTAATTCTGCATATTTGATTTACTCTTCTCTAAGATTTTGGCAAACTTAATTGAGCTTGAACATAACTGATTAGAGTTAGAGCTTGATATTGGAGACTGGGTGGACTCAAGCCTGATCTTGTTTAAGCTAGCTAATGCTTTGATTCTTTTGGACCCATAGTTGATATTAACTGTTCCAGGTTCCTGCAGGTAAGGTGAATTTGGAAACTACATGATGTTCCAATATGGTACTGTGAGGAGGATTTCGAAGATAAAAATAGAAGCTCAATGGTGCACAAAACTCTTAAATGCAGTGAACTTGTTGAATGCAGGCTATTGAAGCTGGTGATGGCCTTTTGGCAACCGAGGCAGCAGATTCAAGACCTGATATCAAACATATCATGCTCAATTTGGTGAACATCATCAGCGATTGGGTGTAGTCTCATTACTTTTTTTTTTTTTTTAAATCAATAATCAAAGGAGAAGGGCAATTTTGCATAATACTTGTAATGGCATTTCCATTGTAAATTTGTTTCTGCAATTATATTTGTATTGTAAAGTAACAAAACTACAAAGACATTATGAGAGGTCAAAATTCTTGTCCAGCTTCTAATGAATGCCATTAAAGAATAGAAAGGGAACCAATGTTCAATGATATGGTTGACATAACTTGATTTGTTGTAATTGAGAAATTGGCACTTGAGCTTAGTTATTTGACCAACTTTCTTTTTGTCAGGCCTTTTGATTGTGATTTAATTGACGAAATTTGATATGACATAATTTGTTTTCTAGGTTGGAAATGATCTCTGGTTTAGTATGTATTTTTTTTGTCACAAATATGAAGGTAAGAAATTGCATTAGCATTTGCCTTTTAAGGTTTGGGCAAAAGGCACTTTTAGATCCATGATATGCTAGTTTGAAGGTTTGGGCAACGGGCAACTTTTAGACATATGATACTCCATGCTAGTTTGGCTGGCAACGCCTGAACTCAAAGAGAATTATTTATAAGCTAAAGGTAACATGTAGTTTTTAACAAAAAGTTGGATGGAAACTAAGATGTGGTTAGATGAACTCAGATTGATCATTAGACGAAATCGTCATCGAACTCCAAAATTAGTTAAAGGTTATAAATTTTGAGTGCAATGCATTTATTTTTGCTCAATTTGCTTAATGCTAGCTATTGCATCCTAAAGCTTTCTGTTTTTCCTTAGTTTGGTAATTTAAATTTTATTAAACCAATGAAAAAAGATGGAGCATCAATTCTTTCTGGCATTTGACAAATGCAAGTTTAGCCGGTGTGTGTTTATGTATTTTTATTTTTATTTTCATTTAAAGAGATTTCGCATTAAACAAATGTGAACCGGATGAGTTTGCATTTACTGAATGCAAAGACCCCTTGATGGAATTCGACACTCAAAATGCCCCATTGCGGAAATTTTTTAAAATTCATCAGCATTTTGGAATTTTCTCTATGTTTGTGTTGGGAATAATCTAATCTAAAAGAATGGTTTGCCTTTAGGAATTATTAGAGGATAAGAACAGATGAAAAAGAAAAAGAAACAAAGGAGCCAAAATCAGAATGTTTGATCTGAATAGACCCGAAAATGTGTGTGTAGCAGCTATTGCAGCTCAGAACACCTGAAAAAAGGGCTTTGCTTGTTAGCAATTTCAGAGAATAATTTAGCTCAAGAAGAAGAAAAATTAATATATGTTCTAGTAGTAGTTCTGTTACACCTTTTAGTTTGCTTGTATGATAATAAATAGGATCGACAGAGATGTACCATGTGCTCTTTTCATAAGACTTAACAGGACTGAAAATCCTTTCCAATTTAGAATTCATTCTTGCTAATCACGAAAGATGGCAAAATCAATATCATACGTATAAAATTCCCAAACAGTAAAATGCAACTTGTACAACTTTACACAACCGAGCATTTTGGTCGTGTAAAGTTGAGATCTCTTGTTTTGAGCATCATTAATTGTCTTATGATCTATCAAAAGATTGTTATATGCCTGAATCATATCACAAGGAAAAGAATTTCTCTTTTGATAAACTTTGTCATGAAAGATTACACGGAAGAAAGCGAAATAAAACCTCTGGGCCTATGCAGAACGGATTTGGGACCTGTCAAGTTGAAGTTTTTGTATCCTATTTAAATCGATTTATTTAATTATTACTACATTTTTTGTAAATTAGTAGGGTTCTGATTTAATCATAAATTTTCAAATGTTAATGATATGCGTCTCCTCAACTTAGTTGTACAAGTTAACAAATTCAAATTTACATCAAAATAAAACTTGCCTCCAAATGCCCTTGGAGGAATTTTTTTGGCGAGAAACGCCCGGAAAATTTCCAGATTCCGGCGGATCCGTTCTTGCTTCCACTGGAAAATGAGTTTCCTTGCTCTTTCTTTGTCTCTTCTGGTTTGATCTTTCAAATGTGTATATTTGTTGTTGAATTCTGTTTTTCCTCAATGAAATGGGCTGTTGTTGATCTTTTACTTGGACTTATGAATCGGCTTGGAGGCTGAAACCCAGCTTCTTTGTTGATCGGACAATAGTGAAAAGATGGGGGCTAGGTTTCTGTTTTCTATGGGTACTTTCCTTTATTATTCGTTCGGCTTAGGAGGTATAGCCCAAGACAAAACAAAAGAAAGGTAAAAAAATGGCCCAATGTCGTTTTTGTCTTGGAAATCAGAAAATGATTTTGCAATAGTCCCTGGTCTTTTAAGTAATTTCACTGTAGCCCTAAATTTCGTATTTTTAATTAAGTTCTTAATTTATTTGCATCTTGGTCCCTAAGCTTTATTTTTCTTTATTATTGACCTCTAATATTTTTAAAATTATAATTTGACCCTAAAAACTTTTTAATTTTTACAATTGGGTCACTAATGGTTTTGATTTCTTAAGTATGATTGTTTATCTTCTTTAATTGCTTCTCAGGCTTCATTTAAATGCATTTAATTAGTAAAATTTGGAAATTTTATGTTTATTCATATTTTTTGGAAATTATAAAGTGAATTTGCTATATGTTTACATTTTCTTTTAAATTGTTAATTAAGTTGATGTCTTGACTATTTTGTTGATTTTGAAATATATATAGGGCAAATTCTACCTCATAACCACTATTTCAAGGGAGTTACCTTCTATTATTACTTTAAGTTCTTTTATGTGCTTCTATGTGTTTTTTTTATGTGTGATTACATGTTTTTAAGTGTTTTTTCTTTTATTCCCTCATTTTATTCATTTTAAGTTTTAAATTATTTTATTTAATTTTTGATGATTAGTTGGGAGGTATTTAAATTCCAAATTACAATAGATAGGTGCCCAAGAAATGTATTTAGTTAGATTATGTAATAGATATATTTTATTTTTGCCAAAATTGTAATTATCAAATAAATGTAATAGATAGATTTATTATTTTCAAAAATTCCTCATCTAGATTGTAGTTAGGCCCCCAATGTAATAGTTAGTTTTTATTTGCTTGCATGCTTGTGTGTTTATGTACTTATATGTTTTATTCACTTTCTTTAGGGTTTTTGCATCTGAATATTTTGCTTATGTGTTATGTGTTTATGTATTTATTTGTTTTAATTATGATTTATATGCTTTATTTATTTATAATTGACAGGTGTCGAGCCTGTGCAATAATAATTACTAAAAGGTCCTAATTACCACCACAATTAATTATAGAACAAATCCAAGTACTAGAGTAGGGACCCTAGGTGTGCAATATGGGTTACTTGATTCACCCTATTCCCGAAGAGTTTGCTTGATCCGATATATCAAAATTGTCTATAAAAGTATTAAATTTGCATATAATGGCAAGTATGGTCGATTCCACAGGGAACGGATAGGAAGTTGTTTCTTTCCAAATCAATAGAACAAAATTGGGGGATAATTAATGGGATGAAAATAAAAATAAAATAAATAAAATTCAAAAGCTAACCTAACAAGTACAATTTACCAAAAATAGCAATTAATAAAATTCTACCCAAAGGATCAACTTTTCAGGTACGGTCCAATTAAATGATCATCGATGCAAAGATATTTCATTCATTCGTCACTAGGTTGGTTATAGCCATCAACAAGTTCTGACAGCCAATTCTTCCTTATTTTTTCGACAGTCAAAGTACGACCGTTGACTGTTTCTCTAACCAGAAAGCAACTCTAGGTACGACCGTAGGAATTTAATTATCCAGTTGCATTAAAACTAAAAGAACCCAACCCTAACCAATAAACACGCTAAGAGGGTTTATTTAAATTAGATCTTACGTTTCCCCAACATAAAGCCAATTATGGTGGTTGTCACTAGTTATCAACTAAACGAACAATTACGGATTCAATTTAGTTAACGTGACAGTAGGCTATTAGATTCAATTAAATATCCGGCCGTTGATACTCAATTAATAAAATAACCATGAACAATTAATCCAGAAAATGCACGAATAGTAATGAATTGGAAGAAATAATGAAGATTCGATTAGATCTCACAGATGTCATGGACCGCGCCTTCGCGTTAACCTTTGGGTAGAGAAGAAAACTAGCCGCTCCTCATCGTATCAATCTCGCGTGATTTGATTGATTCCATCCACACAAACATCAAAGAATTGGGAACGATGAAGTAATGAAGAAAGAAAAAGGAAAAAGTCTTGCTTGTCTCTGCGTTGGTGTTCGTACTGGAGCCACAAAGGTAAAAACAAAAGTTTAGCCAAAATCGTACAAAGTCTAAAGCAGAGAGTAAATCGTCTGACCGGCAAAAAAAAAAACTAAAAACTAAAGCTAAGCTATCACACGTGATTCTGGCTTTGTTTCTATTGGCCGCCGAAAAGAAAGGAAACGTCTCCAGAACAAAAGCAAAAGCTAATCTCTTGATTGCACGTGATTCTGGCTTTTTAGCCAATTGTAGCCGCCGCCAGTAGAAGCAAAGAAACGTCAGGGAGCAAGACTTTGTCTAGGGATTTAATCCCATGCATCTCTGTGGTTCACGTGGACCTGATTTTCTAATTGGCCCTACTACTACCAATTCCGCGGGTTCGGCTTTTAGGTGTCTTTCTACAGTTTCTGGCGTGAGCACGCCCTGAAATGAAATGTCTTTTGAAAATTCTCCCCAAGATACCACTTTTAACACCAACCGCCTGTAATTTACACAAATATCAAATATGAGCAAAAACTCAATATTTAGAACAGTGAGTAACCAAAATTATGACAGAATAACAGTGCAAAATGTGCCCAATAATTGCTCTATCAAATCCCCCACACCTAGATAATGCTTGTACTCAAGCATTGCGAAGCTCAGAAATACAATCAAGGAGGCAAAGGTCATGTAGTAATCTACACTAACACAAGCATCCCACATTCCTGACAACTTCGTCAAAGTTAGAACACATCGGATAGATAGTTATCCAAAGAGTATGAACAGGAATATTCGTCACCTACGAGAGAATGTATAGATACAAGGAACACTCAAATCAATATCACGGAATGACATTACCATAGGCTTGCACATTTATCACATCTCCACCACTCAAAAGTGAACTAAATATACAAATCAAAGAGACTTTAATAGGGTTGTAATGGAGCTTAGGTAATGGGCGGGATAAGAAGGTAAAGATAGCGTGTAATGTGTCAAGAGAATGTCTAATATCCACTACGTAACCACTGTGCTATTCCGGGAAAATTTCACAAGGAAGGCATTTCCATTTGCTATACCCACTGTGC